TCCACGATTCAATCTTTCGCAACTAGCTCTCGTCGAGGCAGCTCGGGAAAGGGTTCAAGCTCGTCTTGTTCCAGAACCTGACGACGACGATTGACGTGCTCACATTGACCGCGACGTCGGGTAGCAATTCGATGTCGTCGTTCTCGCCGTCGACAGACAACCACGGCCAGTCCATCGGCATCGAGTCCTTCGACCCTGACGCTGCGACGACAGGGTCGTCTACGAGTTTACGTCCGTCTTGGTTTCGACTCTGTGATGTACCGTCGTGAACAGAAATGTGGGGCACCAACACCGTCTACGAAGTTCTGTGCAAAGCGAACTCGTGCATGATACGAATAGAACCGTTCGAGGCGTGGTGCTGGCAACTTCATTTACCCCGCAAGCCCCTGGCACGCCCCCTCCATCGGTGACGATGTTCCTCGACTGGTCTACGACCAGCAGTTGCGCCGACAGCGATGCGAGGCTTAGAGCTGCACTGACCGGCGTAGGGGGGCATGCCAACCACCTTCCGCCTCCGTCAGCCATATCGCGGGGCCAGCCAGGCGAGTTCACCACGTCCACCTGCATTCGGAGGTCTGCTTTCGCCTCGAACAACCCGTCCCCGATTGTGTTATCGCTCGACCGCTTGAGCATGAGTCCTTTCAGCATGTTTGTGGCGGTGGCATCGTGATCCCAGCCTTGCATCAGCAACATGTGCGCGAGCAAGTTGCTGAGGTGAACGACTCGCTCTCGGCTGCGTTGCTTGGGTAAGTAACAATGCCTTCCGTGAAATCCATGGCAGTAGTAATAGTTTCATTCGAGTTGTTCAGGTGCCCATTTCTTGTTGTGTACAGCAGCAGGTGGATGACATATCGCGTCTCGGGCAATCCACAGCTGTGTACCCCACAACGGGGAGGCATGGTGACAGACAGTGCCCACGATCGCGCGCGTACGTTTGGCGCATTGCCCATCTGCATTCGTTGCGTGGTCCTTTTGCATCATTCCCAGCAAAAATTACCATCGAATTCGCCTCCGTGGCTTCCCTTGGTGCGCCTTTCACGGCACACGGCATGAACGTTTGTAAACGTGTGAGAGAGGAGGTCGTTCGTGTGGTTGGTACGCTGAAACCCAAGCGCCACAACTCAAACGCAGCTCACAGGCCGGCAAGAGTTGTCCAGTCATGATCAGAGGGGGACGTATTTGTCGAAGCTGTTCACCTTTAGTGATGTGTTCACAGGCTGCAGTAACACGGACGGGGTTTGCCCAACGAACATCACCTCGACGTAGAATTCACCTCCAAAGCAGGGTTGGTCGGCAATGAGATGGATTGGGAGCAAGTCGTACCGTCATCGTGGACGTTCATCAACTCAGGATCGAGCGGCTCCCGTACAGCGCACTTCGTCGGGGAGTCGCGCCGAGCCCCCATCTCAGTGACCAAAGTGCGTCGTCTATGATGAGAGTTGGACTATTGGTCACATAAAGTCCAGTCAAGTGACCCAGAAGATTTGTTCGCTTCAATTCAACCGACCTACAGTGTAGTTGGCACTCGGGTCACTTGACCTTGCATTTCGTTATGGGAAATTGCTGCACACCACGGCAGCCCTCACCTCCCGCGGCCTGCCGCGTTCGCTTTGCGACTGTACACACAAGTTGCCTTCTTTGTTAGCCCTCCGCACACCCATCGGCCGAGTTGGCGTCCGTCGTCGTGCCACGGTGGAGTATGCGCACTTAGGAAGGTGTACTTAACGTGCAACGCATGTGGACATCCAGATTTGCGCCTGGCGTGACGGTGCTTCAATGGATGCAACACCCAGGCAACAGCAGGAACTGCGCCATGCCGTGTCTGAGCAGCAAGACGCTAGCTCCTCGCCACCAGTACGAAGATCTCGCTTACATAATGCAGCAGGGCCATCGCACAGAGACACCCGTCGTCATCTCGGCGAACGTGGAACAGAACTTGATCGAAGTCGCTCGCGTCCAAGCCCGTACGATGTTATGTGATTTGCCCATGCTCCGTGTTTCCGACATCGTCGTGCCGTTCATCACAGGGGTCGAGCTCTTCCACCACGTTGATCGCGGCAGACACACCGTGAAAGCCACCGTGACTTTACCCCACACAAAGTTGAAGGATGTGCAAGCCCACCTCGTCCTGCTATCCGCCCAACACTACCGCCACATGATGGAGAACCTCTTGGGCAGCTCTGTCCTGGACGCATCTACCCTCCACGCCTCCACAAACCGAGCAGAGAGTCTCAGCTTGCACTGGTTAACCCTTCAACGCCCAAAAGATGCCATGTCCGCCACGCATAGCCTGCCGCAAGATTTTGTATACCTGCAGCACACGTCCATCATCCACAGTCATTTGGTGTCCTTATGGCACAGCGCCACAGTAAAGGCGATCCCGCCGCAAGCGCACGTCGACCGGGCCACGTTCCATCGATGTGGGTTGGTCGTGACGAATCACCCCAGCGGTGGCCACCTCGTTGCTTCGATGCATCTCGCCGAAGTCGCACCGTATACCTCCACACCGCCAAAAGCACTGTGTCACCTGGCCACGACAATTGCGTCCCGATTGGCATCGACGCTGGTCACCTGCAGACTGCCACCGGCATCCTTGAATCCGACACTACCTACCGCCACAGCACAATTTCATCATTGTCGCGTGTGCATGGCCAAGCCGTTTGACACAGTCGAAACCAAGAATGCCCGCGCTGCCGTCGTTTGCGGTCTTTGCCATCATCACGTGTGCCTATCATGCACTCGGCCCAAATCGCTGGTCCAGCACTCGAGCCCTTCACCGTTGCCTATCTGCATCCACTGCGTTGGGTCGTTGTCACCGCGATTGTCCCCCACTCCTAGGCTCTTGGCAACCCCAGGGAGCAACCGTTCCTCAGCCGCCGCATCGCGGTATCCACCATCGCTACCCCGGCACGTCGCGGCACCCCCTAGCCCCGCCTCATCGTCGTATTCATCGTCGTTTTCCGTATCATCATCGTCGTCGTCAACACCAGCTAAACCAACGTCGATCTGGACGCCGCGCCACACATTCGCGTTGGCGGCGCTTCCATCGGCGATGTATCCGCACGTTCAACGGAACGCCGACAGATTGGTCATCACACCCGAGCTAGAAGCGGACATGCGCGACATGGGGGAAGCGGCAGTGGAGACGCTCCTTGGCGCCGTTCGACTTCCCATGAAGAAGCTCGTCGATACGTCTTTGCAAACCCGTCCTGACGTGGCTCTCTACGAGCACGCCACGTCCAGTTTGTACACGGTCAAGGCCGTCGTCGTCCTCCCTCCCTACGACGTGTTGGAGCTCCTGGCTCTGCTCGACATGCGGTCTACAGAGTCGTTTCGCCACACGATGCGCATCCTTTTAGACGGCGCGTTCGTCGATGGTGCGGTGCTCCATGCTACTCCGCCATCGTCACCCCATTCGGCGGAAAGCATGACGTTGAACTGGTTGGCTGTACAGAATGCCAAAGTCCACTTGCCCAACCGCGACTATGTATTTTTAAAGTACGGGAATTGCTACGCCCTGTGCGGTCAAGGCAGTCCCCGGCGACCGGCGTTCATGCCCACAACATCGTCCACTCCATCTCGGCCACTCAAGGACACAGTCGCAGTGTCGGTGTGGGAGAGCGTCGACGTGACCGAGTGCGGTCCGCTGCCCAACGACCTCAACACCCTCCGGCTCCACTTTCGACAAACCGGCTACGTTCTCGAGTACATGCCGCGTTCGCGTGATGCCAGCCATGGCATTTGCATCTCGTTTTTCATGTCTGAAGAAGTCCCGTCGTCGCGAAGCGTGTCGTCGTTAGGCAAAGCGTGGGTGGTGCGCATGGCGCAGAGTGTTGCCAACCTCCACCACGCCCTTGTGCACCAGTATGTTGCCGAAGGACGACAGCGGCAGCTGGACATGCCACGGCCCATGAAGCCCACGGCAGCATCAAGGTGTCACTGCTGCTCGAAGCGCTTCTCCATCTTGCGGCGTCGGCATCCTTGCCATCTGTGCTCGGAACTCGTCTGTAAACGATGTCTCGACAAGCAATTCCAAGTGGACCTTTGCGCGACATGCCGCCTGCCGTCGTCCATGTCATTGTTCAAGTACTGGGCCTCATAAGGGTCGAGGGCAAGAACAAGGCTGTGTGTTCCAATAGGTGCAATCAGTAGGATGTCTAAGTAGGGTCGAGAGATGGGCCACTGCCGACGGAGGTGTTGCGGTAGATATCGGATGGACGACAGTGGAGTTTTTGAGGAAATATCCCGGTGACATGTATTCGACGGACTGGCGTTGCGTGAACGGAAACGGGGGCGAGTTCGTCTCGCGAATGGATGGCTGGGGGCGCTTCGGCTTGCAGCCGTCCAACTCGTCGTTACGTGGGGACATGGTGGCTGCTTGTTGCTTCGTAGGCGAGTTACGACTGTAGTCGGGGCACAATCACACAAATGTCGGAATTGTTGCGATCTTTGAGAACTGGTTGACATCTCGACATTGCCACTGGACACGGCGTTTGAGTGTCTGCCACTGCCGCGCCACTAGCGAAGGCGACACGTAGCGGATGCCAATGCAGCCTGTGTCGGCTTCGTGGCAAAGGCGCTGTCCATCCACTGGGCTGGCGACGGCACCGCCCAGATGTACCCCACCACTTCTTCAAGTGCATTTAATACTTCCGACGGCGCCATGTCCATGCCTCTCCACATCTCATACAGCATATACCTGTACAAATATGTGGACGCTCTCGAGCCTTTCAACGTACGGTGGCGCACACGCGAGTGAGGTGCACGCGAAAAGGTCCTGGTGAAGTGGTGATATGCCACATGGCTCCGCCATGATGGCTCTCAAGGTCGTCGACAGCATTGTAGACCAAGGCGGTGGGGTCGAATCGGCAAGATCGATGGCGAGCACATCATGTGGAGGCCGCGATGGGTGACAGCCTCGAACCGTCGCAAGAGATGCAAGGTGGGTGCAGTGGGGGAACCCACGAAATTCCACCGCTTCAACCTTCCGAGGTGCGTTTGGTTTGTGTCAACGTAGAGCGGCATGAACCAGACCACGAATACATGTTGGAGCTCCATGCTTGTCGTCAGGAGCACGGCTCAAGGTTGCCTCGGATGCAGAAGTCTCCAATGGACGTCGTGGTGCACGTCTGTTCATGCCGCTCGACGCAGACACAGGTGCCTTTGGATGGCTGATGGGGGCAGATGCAACGCGGAACGAGTTCGCGTAAGCATTGCATGGCACTGCTACGTTCGTATTCCATCACCTGGACAATTGAGCTGCTTCAATCTGATCGAGATCTTCGTCGCGGTGGCGGATCCACACTGTGATTGGAACGGAGGGTTGGGCGGAATACAATCTCGTCCAGATACCTCGACAGTTCTCGAGCACGTCGCGATGGAGGTCTCCAGACGTCCGCTTTGGATCAACTGGTTTAGGATGCAATGGAAGCCAAGACCCGCGTCGTCACGACGTCGTTCCCGCTCCTCCCTTCGTTGTCATCGTGGGTCTTTTCTAGCCTAGCAGTCTTTCCGCCTCGAAGTTCTCCATGTCGTTGACATCGTCGCGATTCGAGCCCTGACTCTGCACGGCGGCACTGACGATGGCCTCCACCATGACGGATGTAGTCTTGTATTTGAAATAGGGATGGCACATTGTGTGTGATCTTGTCAGTTCGCAACTTGGTCCACGACGGGAAGACTTAGCACCAACTCCTGCACGATTTCTTTGTGCACGTTGACATCTACACGTTGCCTCAGCGCCTTGGGAGTTTTCCATGACCACCAACTTCTTCCGCCGTAGAGCTTGTACACTTAAACTCTGAAAAGCCCAAGCGTCGACAACGGCCGAAGCACATATGCGTGGCAGTCGGGCCCCGAGACGGCAAGTAGCTCACCCGCATGGCTTAACCTACATCCACAAACGCCGCATGACGCCATACGGACCGTCTCGTCCGTAGGCATTGTGCTTGACCTCTTCCTTGGCAGGTTGTAGGATGTACAGCATTTCGAATCGCAGCGAGTGTCGGCTTTGAAAGGTGACGAGCCTGAAGCTGTCACCAGAAGGAAGGATGCCAGATGGGAAGTTTGACATCATTGCTGTCCCGAGTCCCATCAAATTGAGCTAGGTATGCACACGAAGGACGTTGGATGCCTTGATGTCGCCGAGGACGAGGGCCACTTGTGACCATGCTGCAGCGCCGTCGATCCTTAGAATTTGGTGGTTGCGAGGATGCTCTATACGTAAGCAAATTTCGTTCAAGCATCCGTCGGCGGCCTACCACCGACGTCGTTGTATGTTGCCATCGAGATGACACCATTACCGATATGACCGCTGATGCACAAGGAGCACACGCCCGCGCAAAACTCGTCAGGAGGGAGCGCTGTGAAAAGTTCAAAGACCATCAGCTTCTCCAGCAGGTCGCGGCACCTCACATTTTGCATGAAGTCTGAATCCGACGCCATGAAATTTCTCGAGCTTAATGGATGGGCCCACCGCAAATGCAGTTGTAATACCCCTGATATGCTCGTGATGTACCCGATCTTGTCCCAGTCCCCATGCGCACAGAGTCCTAATACAGTGGCCCACGGACTCGTCACTCCTCCGCTTTGACAGTGTTGCACTTGTGCTGAGGTCGAGCGACTTGGCTGTTGAAGCCGATGTGAATTCCGAAGTGCATTGTGGGTTAGACTACTATCGTCCTAATCCTTTTAATCATCCAGCGAGCGTGATTGG